ACCAGTTGGAGTCAATTGTTTGCTTTTGGGAGTTGAAGAATGTTATCCCCAAAATTTTAATCGACTCTCGAAAACTTGGCCAAACAGTATCGTCTCCTGTACGTTGGAACCCAATGTTGACCGCGAACGTTTTGTTGAAATTCAAAAGAGATCCCGAAACACGACTAAAATCAAGGAAAGCTTGCTTGATGACAGGCAGTAGACTGATGCAAAATTTGAAATTTTCGCTCCACAATACTTAACCGATTTCAAATCGGATCCTGAATAGCCTGTCAAAATTTGAACCCATTTGGCGAGAAACTGAGATGGCACAAGCCATTTGAAGTTTGTATGGGAATTACTATGGTAAAACCTAGATTTTTGTTCATGTCTATCTAATAATTCACCATATCGGTCTGCTTCAAAAGCTTTCAATTGTACTTGTAGGAAATTTTCCCAGCTACAACTTTGCTCAAATCCACTTTTTGATTAAATGCAAGGATCGAAAGTTATCAATGGTTCAATGCGCTGATGTCTTATGATCATGCTCAATCAACTGCTCAGCAGGCAACATTGGTGTTTCTAGGGCGTTGAATAGGACACAAAAATCATGGCTACTATGTCACACTGCAAAATACAGCGTTGCGTACAGAGCAGCTGCTTGATCATGTCATAAGTTTACCAATCTCTTAAATAATTAATAACTTTTTCCTGCCTCGTTTTACATAGAAACAATCTTGAGCAAAGTTGTAGCTGAGAAAATTTTCTATAAGAGTGGCCATCGAACTGTTTCGCAGCTCAATATGGAAAAAACACTAGAAGGCAATGAACAAAAAGTTTAGATTTCCCATAGTAATTTACATGTAAACTTCAAATGGCTTGTACGAAGTCTGTTTCTATCCAAATGAGTTGTAACTTTGGGAGGCTAATCAGGACCCAATTTGAAACCATCTAAGCACTGTGGAGCGAAAAAGTCAAATTTTGCATCAGTCTAATAGGCAGCTTGCGGTCGTCAGTAATGATTATAGATATGTCATCTGCATATGCCACCACCAGATCCAGCGGGCTGTTACAGATACTGCGTAGTTTTTCTAGGAGGGGGTGGAGATATAGGACGAATAGGTGCATGCTTAAGTAATCGCCCTGCCTTACAGAGCGTTGGATTGGGAATTTTGGTGTGAGATAACCATTTATAAGTAAACTAGAACTAGAAGCGGACATAATCTTCCCTAAGAGTTGAACAAAGTTTTGGTTTAATTGGATATTCTGCATCACAGCCATTAAATAGTTTTTACTAACTCGATCAAAAGCGTGATCGAAGTCGAAGGAAATTAATTTTCCTGTCCTACGTTTGTAATTGAATTCTGCAATTCTATCTTTGTTTGCATGTACTGCTTCATAAATAGTTCTATCAGAATTTGAACATTTTTGACTGGAGTTGAGAAGATTATTTTCAATCATAACTTTTTCCAAACGTTGCTTGAGTATTCTCGACAGAAGTTTGTAGTCGTAATTAAGGAGACTTATGGGTCTGAATGCTTTGACAGTTTTGTCATTCGTTTTCTTTCTCCCCTAAACAATCACTCCTGCAACAAATTTTTCAGGGATGTTTCCTTGTAACGCTTCGTTGATAATCAAGTTAAGTTGGGGATGGATAATATTGAACGCCTTCATGTATTTAGAATTCCTTAGGAATTCCATCGTTACCTGGAGATTTTCTGGATGCACTGGACCGAATAGCAAAAAATATTTCGGATGTTGTAATTTCATCCATCATAGTGTTGTTGGTATTTGAATCAGGTGGAATGCTTTTGTTAGTGGGGAAACTTTCGTTACTGGATAACTCATCTACAGTATACAAGTTCTTAAAGAATTCATACACATGGTTCTCTATCTCAGATACATCAGTGAGCAAACGCTCTTAATGACGGATAGAGTTAATAATAGTTTTCTTACGATAACGATCACCAATCTGAAATGAGGATAATTTTTCTCCACAAACGAATTTGTCGTTTATCCGTTCGTACGCTTTCGCAAAACAATTCTGACGTTGCAGCATTTGGGCTTTTATTTTATTGACTTCAGTCATACCATTTGGGTTTTGATACATCCGGTCATACGCGTCTCTTAGTTGGCGGTATAACAGTTCATTTGCTGAGTGGAATTCACGAAATGAATCGTTAGTCTTCCATCTGAAGAAACTTCGATTTTTTGGCTTTGCGAATTCGATCCACCAAGAAATCCAACTGTTGTAATTTTGTCGTTCACGAAGCCAACGACGCCACTTTTGTTCAAATTCCTCTACATTTTCTTCATTTAGAACGTGCGCACGGATAGACCAAAAACCCCGACCATTAGGCTTGCCTAAGCTAGGTAAACAACATCGAATCTTGTACGCTTTGTGGTCTGAAAAGGATGTGACAAGCAGCTCCGAAGTTCGAAGATGCGGAACAAGTGATCTAGAGACATAGATGCGATCTAAACGAGAGGCAGAGTTCGGACGAATAAAACTGTAATCAATCCTATTTTTGTTCAAATAGTCCCATGTATCAGAGAGGCTCCACAAATTGCTTCAGAGAGTATCCACAAATTGCTTTAGGGAAGCACTGAAGTTACCTGTGCCAGTAGCATCTTTGGCTGCGATTACACAATTGAAATCACCACATAATATAAGGTGTTCAGCAGAGCTTTGAAGATAGAAAGACAGTTGTTCTTTGAAAAATTCTTCACGTTTAGAGAAGTTCTGCGTACCAGAATAAGCGTAAAGGTTGCAGATAGTAATAGAATCGTTAACTTTAACCGTTAGAATTCTAGTATTCAAACTTCGTTGTACGTTTGTGTACACTGAGATAATTATCCCAGCAAATTTCATAAACTACATCGTATGAACGCATGCAAATACAAGCCTGAATCAATTTCATAATTATCTTATGTTTTCATACTCCATCTATAGTAAGGTATACGAAAAACATTAAAATTTCATAAACACATCTTATGAATTATTTTGGTTCAGCTTACGGCAAAAATTCATACGATGACCGTATGAAATGATATTTATTTAGACAGTGCAAATCAAAACAACAACAAAACACAAGATGGCGGATCTAGCTTCAAGACGTGGCGCAAGGCTCCGTAATCCTGTAAGTAAACTTAATTCGTATTGTTTCATTTTAGATAACATTTTTTTTTTACATTTGTAGACAGTTAAGCAAACTGCTGCTGCTGCTGCAGCTGCTTCTGCTTTATCGATTTCAACAGCACGTCGGAAGAGACAACCGGATCGGGTGAGTTTCAGATTTATTTTTCGTTTTTGTTTTGATAATTTAATTTTTTTAACAGGAATCGGACACGAGTACAAGCAAAACTACTCGTAAAATCGTAAGTATAAAGTTCTCAGTTGGTTCGTTATTTTTTACAATACCGAAGGTGATCCAGCCCCGAGCTAAAAGCCTCCCTTATAAAGAAAACCTAACCTAACCTTACAATTTTTGTTTACAGAAATTGGAACCACCATCAATATCCAAATCAGCTTTTCTTCCTGCCACAGCTTTCCAGGAATCTTCTATTCCAGCTGTGTTGTAGGCAACAGGGTTGACAGCAAATGACGCTAAAGTGCTGCAGAAAAGGAGGTCCTTGGAAAATGTAATGATAAAAATGTAATAATAATAATAATATAGTAATTATTGCGCTCTTCTCCCTTAAATGGACTGCACAGTTTGAAAGTGCAACCATGCATAAGTGTGATTAGAAGTGCTATCTGTCAAGTTCTGGCATGCGCTGTTTTATTTATGACATCTGTCATTGTTTGTTTTGATTTTTCATAGCTGTTCGTTTTCCGTCGATTTTGTGGAAATTGGTTATTTACAATAGGAACATGGCCAACGTAAATCCTACAGAATGTTGAAAATAGAAGAGCTAGCACGAATACTAAGTATCATTGCCTTTATGGCTACTATTTCCTCGGGCTAACAAGAGCCAGGCTTGCAATTGTGTACCGTAAGAGCAAAACAACAATCAGCGGCTGGATAACATCCTACGAGGAGAATGGACTACTTTCCTCTAAGCAGCGGGAGCAAGTATTCCGGAAATTCAGTACACGACAAAGGCAATGGATTTTGGACCTCTACCATCAGAACCCGATTCTCTACCTTGAGGAATGTCAAGATCTTTTCTACCAACGATTCCAGATCAAGATTAGTGGATCATCTATCTGCAGAATTTTGCATGCTGAAGGATTGACGTGGAAGGCTTTGGAACGAAGGGCCATCCAAATCAAAGAGCATGAAATTCTCCGTTACTGCTCAGAACTAAGTTCTTTTGATTGGGATACGTATCAACTAGTATTTCTAGACGAAGTGTCGTTGGATAACAGAAGCATCTTGAGGAATCGTGGCTACGGGATCAAGGGGAAACGACTCGTTTTCCGGGGTGAATTTGTGCGTCGTCCCAGGGCATCATTCTTTGTTTTCTGGGTTTGCATGGTGTGTTGGACTGCTTTGAAACAGAGGGAACATTCACCCGGAAGATATTTTTTGAATGTTGTCGTGAATTTGCCCTAAAGAACAACAAAGTACTTCAATACCCAGGAAAGAACTCTGTATGGATAATGGATGGCGCTCGCATCCATTGCGATGCCAACATCATTCTGTATCTTCGATCCATAGGCATCATTTCAGTGTTCCTACCTCCTTACTGTCCCTTTTTCAATCCGGTGGAAATGATATTCGGCATGATGAAATCACGAATTAGGAAAGTATACGTAGAAAATCGAAACGAAAACCTGTCCCATTTGGCTCCGGAAACATTTATGGGGTTGGAAAACTATGATTGTACCGAAATTTATCATCACTGTGGATATTCACCGGGTGGAGTCTTTAACCCTTCAGTTGGGTTGTCGCAAAATGCTGGGCAGCCAAATTATGCTAAAGGAGAGTGAAGTTAACAAAAGTGTGAGTAAAAAGGCTTTATTTGAATAAAACTGTTCAGGTACAAAAATCACGTATGTATTTGAAAATGATGATTCACGAATGATTAATATCATACATATCCGAAACGTTTTCTGCAAGGGAACGGCTTACTTCATTCTCCTCTGGTCTGATAGAGTCCTGCATTGCTGAAACTAGACTCGAATTGATCGATGATCGAGCCCGCAGTGCACTAATGCGGTGCTTTACCCTCTGTCCCAGTGCAATCAATTGGTCGGCCTCTTCTTCCAATACTGTTAGCTCCGTTGAAAATGCGTCATTGATGGTGCTGGCAACAGATAGCCCATTTAGAGTACTTTCCAGCTGCACAGCTTCGGAAATAGGTACAGACCTGAAGAACTTAATTATGGAGTACGGAGGTAACTCTGCCATTCTTCGTTCCCGTTCGTGTGCTGGAGCCGTGTGGATGTAATTTGCCCACAGCTTCCACGCGCTAGCGTGACCCGTAAACTGTCTTCCATGCAACTCTCGAAGCTCATTAGCCAACACGGAGAGAGACTGGTTGTTGGGAGCACCCGCTCGATCAGTATCCTGAAACTGCACCAATTGTTTGTTGACCAAATCCCACAGTTGCTTGCACGATACAGCCGTTGAGTAGATGTGTACATGCACTCGTATGTCCTTCGTGTTCCAGCTAATCAGCAGTTTGCTGTCAATTTGGTCAATGTTTATTCGTCTCCGATTCTTTTTTTTTTATCTAGTTCGTTTATTTGGAAGGCTCAATCGCGTTAGCTTTACGGAGCCGATAATTCATTGTTCACTGTGTGTAACAAAATTCACTTAATTCTATGTCTAGTAGGAGTTGGGCCGATTACTCGCGGCTTACTCGAGGTTAGAAGGGTACATTTTCGAAGGATAGGATCAGGGGAGGAGCTTGAGGTAGGGTTTCGTTGTCTCATCAGAGCGTTGTCGCCAGTATGAACGGTAGTGCTGTTCTAGCTTCGTCCGGAGTTTGACCGGCTATGGTGGGTGACCAGTGGGCGACGATGAGACTCATCGAGACGGGGGGACAAGACAAACAAAAACTAATAAAGAGAGACAAAAGACAAAAGGAATTAAATTCTTATACTAGACATTTGAAGAAAGACATAAACGGACTGCATATAGCAGAGATCACGGGTTGCCAACACGTCTCTGATAGGAACATAGGGTTGTCTTCCTTGGGCCTCGAGGGTATTCAAAAGTCGCTCTCTGGCGGCGTCATTATCCGTACATTGCCAAACTGCGTGTTCGATGTCATCGTAACCGTTTCCACACCGACAGATGTTGCTGTCCACGAGGTTTATTCTATTGAGATGAGCATCTAGCGAGTAGTGGTTGGACATAAGTCTACTCATCACGCGAATGAAGTCACGACTTAAGCCCAAGCCTTTAAACCACGCTCTCGAAGAAACATTAGGAATAATTGAATGTAACCACCGTCCAAGATTTCCAGTGTCCCAATCGGTTTGCCAACTCGAAAGGGTACTCTGACGCACTAAATGGTAAAATTCATCGTGTGAAATTTGCCTGTCATACAATTCGCCTTCCTGCGCGCCCACCTTTGCGAGAGAGTCCGCCTTCTCATTGCCTGGGATTGAGCAATGTGAGGGGACCCATACAAAGGTAATCATATATGATCTTTCGACCAGCACACACATCTGCTCCCTTACCTTTGAAAGGAAATAAGATGAGTGCCTACTTGGTTTCATCGACCGAATAGCCTCAATGGAACTGAGACTATCCGAGAAGATGAGGTAATGGTCTGCGGGCATGTTGGAAATCATCCCCAATGCGAAGTTGATTGCTGCCAGCTCAGCAACAAAAACGGAACAAGGTTCCTGAAGTTTGCGGAAGGCGCTAGAGTTTTCATTGAAGACACCGAAGCCAGTGGATCCATTGAGACGGGACCCGTCTGTAAAATATCTTTTCATGCAATTGACTTGTTGGTACTTTTCAGTAAAAATACGCGGAATAATAATAGGTCGAAGTTGATCGGGAATCCCATGAGTTGCTTGTTTCATGGTCAGATCATATTCAATTGAGGAACTGCGATTGGTGAAGTGAACACGGTCTGGAGTATAACAAGGAAGACACATATCCGACGATATGTAGTGGTGGTAGATTCTCATAAATCGAGATTGTGTGTTCAGCCCAAGAATTTCTTCAAAATTAGCAATTATAAGTGTGTTTGTCACTCCGCATTTGATTAGTATTCTGAGAGAGAGCTCCCAGAAACGGTTCTGGAGGGGTGTTACTCCTGCCAGAACCTCGAGACTCATGTTATGCGTTGAGTGCATACAGCCTAGAGCAATACGCAGACAACGATATTGAATTCGTTCCAATTTTATTAGGTGACTTTTTCTTGCCGAGAGAAAGCAGAAAGAGCCGTACTCTAGAACAGAGAGAATAGTTGTTTTATAAAGCGTTATGAGGTCTCCCGGATGAGCACCCCACCATGTGCCGCAAATTGAACGGAGAAAGTTGATCCTCTGCTGACATTTTTGCTTCAAATACGTAATATGGGCATTCCAAGTGCACTTTGAATCAAACCAGACCCCAAGGTACTTGAAAGACAATGATTGGGTAATGTTTCTGCCCAAAAGATTAAGCTGCATTTGGGCTGGGTACCGCTTTCGAGTAAACACTACCAGTTCAGTTTTCTGCGGCGAGAATTCGATCCCTAGATTCATAGCCCAAGAAGACAAGTTATCTAAGGAATTTTGCAATGGTCCTTGCAAGTCCACGGCATGTGGACCTCTTACGGAAACCACACCGTCATCTGCAAGTTGTCTTAGCGTGCATTGTTCTGCCAAACAGTTGTCGATATCTTTGACATAAAAGTTATAAAGAAGAGGGCTGAGACATGAGCCTTGGGGCAGGCCCATGTAACTAATTCTGGAAGTTGTCAGTTTTCCAAGAGAAAAGTTCATTTGCTTTTCTGACAACAAATTGTACAAGAAATTATTTAAAATTCCAGAAAGTCCACATCTGTGCAGATTGTCTGACAGAATTTCAATGGAAACTGAATCAAAAGCCCCCTTAATGTCCAAGAATACTGAAGCCAATTGCTCCTTGTGCGCAAAGGCCAGTTGAATATCTGTGGAAAGCAGCGCTAGACAATCGTTTGTTCCTTTGCTCTTGCGGAACCCAAACTGTGTATTTGATAGCAAGTTATTTGATTCGACCCAGTGATCGAGTCTCCGAAGGATCATTTTCTCCAACAATTTCCTAATGCACGAAAGCATAGCAATCGGACGGTATGAGTTATGGTCAGACGCTGGTTTGCCAGGTTTTTTAATGGCTATTACTTTGACCTGTCTCCATTCAGGCGGTACAATGTTGTTTTCTAGCAAGGAATTGAATAAATCTAGCAAGCGTCTTTTAGCGATATCTGGGAGATTTTTCAGAAGATTGAATTTAATCATATCGCTTCCCGGTGAGGAGTTGTTCGATGAAAGAAGAGCCATAGAGAAATCCAGCATTGAGAATGGTCTATCCAGAGAGCCGCCGCTAGGAGACGCTTCTCGAAGAATATTTTGTGCTGGAACTGAGTCCGGACAGACCTTTTTAGCGAAATCGAATATCCATCGGTTGGAGTATTCTTCACTCTCATTGAAAGATGAGCGGTTACGCATGTTGCGAGCCACCCTCCACAAGGTGTTCATTGAGGTTTCTCGTGAGAGTCCCTCGACGAAATTGCGCCAATAACCGCGTTTTTTTGCTTTGATTAATTGTTTCAGCTTTGTCTCAAGCTTTGAATATTCCTCGAAGTATGTGGAGGTTTTGTGTCTACGAAAAGCTTTGAAAGCATCAGATTTTTCTACATACAATTTTGTGCATTCTTCGTCCCAACCAGGTGTGGCTGGTCTCCTTTTAAAGGGTGCACTTGGAACTTTTCTTTTTTGTGCTTCCAGTGAGCTTTTGTAAATCAAATCGGCTAGGAATCGATATTCTTCCAATGGTGGAAGCGCATCTATTGATTCGACACCGATTGTCACCGCCGTTGCATATTTCTGCCAGTCGATGTTCCTTGTAAGATCAAATGGAACCCGAGATGGTTCTGCAGAGTGAGGGCCACTGAGTGATCGCTACCATGGGGATCATTGATAACCTTCCACTGACAATCCAATGATAGCGATCTTGAACACAAAGATAGGTCGAGTCGGCTTTCTCGAGCCGGAGGTTTTGCTATACGTGTCGCTTCACCAGTGTTCAAAATAGTCAAATTGAAATCGTCACATAAATCGTAAAAAATAGCCGCTCTATTGTCGTCATATAGATCGCCCCACCCAGTACCATGGGAGTTCATATCACCCAGAATTAATACTGGGGATGGAAGAATCGAAACTAGATTCCAGAGTTGACTACGGCTAATGGAGGTTCTTGGTGGAACGTATACTGAAGCTATGCAAAGATCTTTGTTCTTCACATTTATTTGGCAAGCGACGATTTCGACGCCTGATAGAGCAGGAAGGGAAATTTTGTAGAAAGGGTAGCACTTTTTGATCCCTAAAAGTACTCCTCCATAAGAATCGTCTCTATCCAGGCGAATAATGTTAAAATCGTGGAAGTTGAGTTCTTTATCGGAAGAAAGCCATGTTTCACAGAGAGCAAATATATCACAATCAGAATTGTGAAGTAAAAATTTGAACGAGTCTAGTTTAGGCACTAGACTACGGCAGTTCCACTGTAGCACAGTGATCATATCTTCAACCTCGTTCGACGAATTATCCATCGAAAGATATGATTGATGCAAGGAGGGGCCATGAAACAGTCAATTGCTTAAGATATGATTCTAACGTTGGAAGCAAGGCAGAAACTAAGCTTCTTAGAGGGTCTTGTATGTTGAACATGTTTAATATGAATTCCACAATGTCCGAAAAAGCTAGCAAACCTCGTTCGGACTTGGATTTCTTTTGAGAAGTTTGAGGAGCAGCTTTTTTATTTTTTTTATCTTTGTTGGGCAATGGCGGAAAATTTCTGCTGCATCCAGGGATTGGTTCAGCAGGAGCCTTCGGTTTCGTTTTTTCATCCCCATTACCCTGGGAATTTGCCAATCTTCTGGAGGTGACTTTTGTTTTCTTACGGCGCACTTTCGGGGAGGGGCATTTTCTTTTTGAGGAACCGTCTATTTTTGAAGGTGCGTGTACCACCGTAGAATCACCTTCATCGGATGAGTCAGAGTCCGATTCTTCAGCGGACAAAATCGAAAATTGGTTTGCATCTTGGACGGCTGATGCAGCCTTCAACATTTGAGCATATGTCTGCTTGGAGCGTCCAGAGATTGAACGCTGCACTTAATCGGAGTGCTGCTTGTACATCGGGCACTCCTGCAAAGGGTGAGGATTCTCGCCACAATAAGCGCATTTTACTGATTCTTTGTGGCAAGAATCCTCTTTGTGGTTTTCACCACATTTGCCACAACGAGTTTTGTTGCCGCAATGGCTGGCCGAGTGTCCCAGCCTTTTGCAGTTGGTACAATTATATACCCTCTGTACAAACAGTCGCACCGGAAAAAAAGCACCATCAATTTTAACAAAGTTTGGGAGAACTGAACCTGCGAAAGTCACCCGGAACGAGTCTGAATGTTTATAAACTTTTTTACCGTCTAGCAAAGATGCTGAATGCAGTTGCCTTACATCCAGTATCTTCACTAGCGCGGTAGCGAATGTCGAGTTTTTAAAAGTTCCCGAGGCATGTTTCAAGTCCTCGACAGTCAGACTCGCGTCGGAGACCACGCCTTCTATCTCCACATCTCGAGAAGGGATGTAGATGTTATACTCAACACTAAAAAGCTCGTGTTCAGCAATTTTATTTGCCACATCATAAGTCGGTGCTTCTACCCGCAGTTTGTTGAATCTTTCCTTGTGTACCAAGATTCCCGGATACTTCCGCAGCAAATCTCTCGTAATGTCGAGAGTTTTCAAAGGTTTATTTTTGGGCCGAAAAAAGACAACCCATGGTCCTTTCGAAGACGGTTGGTAGTATCTGGTTCGCGCAACGTAGGCATCCGAAGACGCCATAAGTGTTGCGCAAAAGCGGTGCACAACCGCTTAAAAATGAAAAAAAAAAAAAAAAAAACTTAAGAATAACTTTCACCAATTAATTTACTTAACTACTAGTTGTTAATATTTCGTTGCCATGCAACCATACAAAAAAAATATTATAAAAAAAAAAAAAAATTATATACAAAAAAAAATAACTTTTTACTAATTGCAAAAATGCCCCACCCTATTAGGGAGAGCACACTGCCACAAGGCAACTTTGCTATACAATAGCAAGGCAATCGAAAAAACTATTCTACTATACTTATGCCGTTTGCTACTGCTTGCTTGCAGCTGCAGGTGGCGATACAATGGAGACGTCGATAACTGCGATACAATGGAGACGTCGTGATGATGGTGATCTTTCACCGGGATGGGTAGAGATGGACACTCGAAATAAACGGGCTCGCCGAATTTCGGTGCTTCCGAGACACGCGCGCTTATCACCTGGACACTGCACTGTGATGCGAAAAAACCACGCGGGTGGAAAAAAATCACAACTAATACTTTATGTCGTGTGAGAGACCGGGACCGTGTTAACCGACTCAGCGCTCGATACGGAATGTCTCCGATTCTTATTCTGCATATAAACGAATTTCTGCAAATCCTCATACGATGGTTCACTATCAGCCCAGGTAGGAACCTGACTTCCATTATCCTCGATGAAAATAACTTCACGACAAATGATTGGCTTCACAATTGTCCACACACTTTGCAGAATCTCCTCTACTGTATCACCATACAGTATTTTTGAAGCTATCAAGCTACCGGATGTTTCTCCAACAAACCTACGCTTGAAGAATGATCCACACAGCGATAAATTATGTTTCCTTTCGCTTTTGCCCGTACTTTTCGCAGGCTCGTCAGGTTTTCCTCCATTTGTGTATGAGTTTCCTGCAGCGTCATCATGACCCAAAGGAAGAATCAGAGGGTCACAATCATCGTCGAGAGCTTCAATGGAGTATTGGTCAGAATTATCATCAAAGCTGACGTCGTAATCCACTTGATTCGTAGTGTCCCGATTCTCCTGATCCTCAGCGTTAGCCTCGTCATCGTCCATGTTGCTGCAAGCAAACATTATCAAAAGTTGAATAAGTCAATGATCAAAAGATAATAAAAACTTAATTTTACCTGGTAATCGTTGCTACTACAATATTTATTTATTTCGACAACAATTTTCAAGCGCACAATTCTGAGGCAGCAGGAAACTTGAAGAAAACAACAACAATCAAATTTCAACTCTGTTTTGTTTCTGTTGACAATCTGAAGGATCGCTTCCGGCAGTGTTGCCAGGATGTATTGTGCATAAAAAAATTGTAAATTGTAAATCCAAAAAAGTTTTTTTTTTTCTTTGTTATGATTTGTAATGACGCAAAAAACAATAACAAAAGATTACAAAGTACATGGGATAATTGTAGCGTGCAATTAGTGAATGCTTAGCACTTATATTCAAGCAAGTATTCAAGAATTTGTTAAATTATTTATCAATACGATATCAAATCTTTTCTGGCAACAATATAGCACAAGGATAAACTGTGATTTGAGAAGTGTGCTGAAAATCCAACTTTCAATGCAAACTGCAATAATCAACTCAAACTATATTTTTCATTCATATCCTTTATGAGTTTCATACGAAATGACAAATGAAATTGTTCGTAATATCCAATGATAGCTATCGTTTGTTTATATTGAGATTCATAGTTATATGCATGAGCAATCATACGATGGCTGATTGACAAAAAACTGACAGTTCTTCATAGTTCGGTCGTATGAAATTCAACATAAAATCTTGTCGCAAAAAATCATATGATATTTCTATGAAATTCGATTGATTAATAATCTCAGTGTACGGATCATGCGCTTTATGAGTGATAGCTGTTCCTCTTTTATCATTATCTACACTTAAAAAAATCTACACGCGCCGTTCATGTGTTTCACATTTGAATTGGCGCAATGTGGCAAACACATTCATTTCAAATGTCTAACTTATGAAATCAGCCATACCTTATCCATGCTCTATTCACTTACAGCACACATGAATTTCATGTGATTTAAATGTCAAAGTCATGTGCATGATTTATTACCATGAAATGTTTTGCATATGAATATGTTCTACAACACATGCTAAATTTAAACACGATGCACATGAATTTGATGAAAGACCTTGTAGCAATCGAATAGTATAACTATTGGATTCCAAGTTGATTTGTTGCTCTGAAATAGATAACTGAATTTCATTTAAGCAAATCGTAGTCATGCATACTGCATTCTAATAGTATCGTACAAACAGAAAAATTGTTATCTGATACGCTTGAAACTCAATATACAGAACTACGGTCTACTTAAAAGATAATTATTGAACGGGGTTCAGTATGTAAAAAAGATAAACACGATACATTTCAATTTTGATACATTAATTTACATTTTCATATTGTTTGTACAGTATATTAATCGTAGAAGATAGCTTAACCTATGCCCTGGATGCTCTAATCCTGTTTTTCGTTGGATCAATGCCGTGTTCTGTAATGAAAATATTGCATTAATGTTATAAATATATCTTATCATACAAACAATGTACTCACGGTTAATAATTTCTATAATTTCGTTAGGAAAACCTAACTCCACTAACAAACTTACTCTCCTCGCAAAGTTGCTGGTGCCTTCCATGTTTGTTTTGACACTTTAGGCACTCTTCTCGTCATTATAGTGAGATCCGTACGATTCATGTGTCATACACGTTAAAAACACTAGTGGAAAACTGTAGCGCAGAATTATATGAGGATCTCATGGATTTCGATAAGTAAACACATGAAATCAATGTGTGGTTAGTATTGATTTCATAAGCAATAAAAACATATTATTTTTTTTGTGTAAATCTCATGACATCCGAGGGAAAAGCACATGATTCTATGGTGACAAGCAATGAATGGTCTTCATATTCCAAAACACAAGAATGGAACGTGTCATTTTTTTTGAGTGTACGTTGGTGATAACGTTGTAACCTGGAATACACAAGGTTGCACATTCAACTTCTTGTAAAAGGTTGATGTCAAACTTCATCAATCGAATGAAATTTTATTCACACTGGAGACAGCATTGGTGTTGATGGAGCCTACATTATAACTAACAGGGGAATGATTCATTTTGATTCGTTACGTGATTGTTAACCGTAATACTCGCGGTATACTCCTGGTTAATATTTGGGATTGGAGTAAGGTAATCATTTTAGTAGTGTGGATTAGTAATATCAGGATGATCGGATAGTTTTTAGATTGTAATAAGTAAAGTTAAATCGACTCATTGGCTTTTGAAACAGAGGAATCCATTTTTTGTTTTTTTGAACGTCCTCTTCCACGTGTCACTTTTATGATTTAAAAATCGAGAAGAGTGTCTACGGGATCGATAAAAATATCGTTGTGCTCGTTTGTTGTGTTTGTCGTATTGGATGCTAGATAAAAGCTTCTTTTATCGATCTGTGTGCTGAAAATACCTGGGAATGTCTTTTCATGGCCGTGGGAATACATATAGAAAGTTGACGAAGAGAATCTGTCAATGTTACTTAGGACCTAATGCAATGTTCAGCTTGAATTGTTAGGGCATCTTTAGCGGCGGTCCAATTGGCTGATTTGGTCTAAAATTTTGGAACAGATCCAGACCGAGCCCTTGCACCGGTGGTCTACATTTTGTTTTAGACTAGTTCTAAAATGTAAATTTTTTAAAACAGTATAACTTTTGATCTATTTTGAACTGAATTTGAATCTAGGCAAGCACTGTACCAAACCAGTTTGACAGCTGTTCTACTCAAGTTATGTTTTGTTTTTTTCGGTACTGGGATTTTTTCTGCAAAACAAACCGATGTTTTCCTAGATTTTCTCCGAAACGAAGGCGGTTCCATCAAAGTGGTCATATCTAGCGATAAACAATCGACTGCTGTTGACACTGGCGGAGTTCCAGCTCTATCGCACTACCGATGCTGCTGTTGCTATCGGCACCGTCATCGTCGCAAATGCAACAGCATCGCATGGGAAGGATCAGGTAGGGAACATCCGGATTTTCTGATGGAAATTTCAACGGACACTTCTGTTCTGCAGGATTTGTTCTGTTGTTTTACCCTTCTTCTTGTGGCCCCATTTGACACTATTTAATTCTTTTGGATTCGGTCCACCGGTTCTGGAGATTGCAAACCCATCATGCGACACATCAAATCATATGAAAATTAAAAAAAATAAGATCAATGGTAATGAAATAAAGTACCCTGGATCACCTTGGTTACTTCAGGACATGTTCTGGGAGCCCCTAGGGAAGTGGTCAGTTTTTGAATTAGTCTAAAACCCTTCGCGCGACACATCAAATCACATGAGAATTCAAAATCAAGATCAATGGTTATCAAATAAAGTACCCAGGACCACCTTGGCCACTTCAATGTATATTCCGGGAACCTCCAGGGAAGCGGTCAGTTTCTGACATAGTCCACAACCCATCACGCGACACATCAAATCACATATGAATTCAAAAACAAAATCAATGAAAGTTAAAAATAGTGCCCAGGACCATGTTGGCCCCTTGCGGGTTCCTCCAGGGGAATGGCCAGTTTCTGAATTGACCCAAAACCCATCATGTGACACAGCAAATCACACTTGATTTCAAAAACAAGATCAATGGAAGTCAAATATAGTGCCAAGGACCACTTCACCCACTTTCGGGCATTTTTCAGGAACCCCCAGGGAAGTGGCCAGTTTCTGACTTGGGAAAAAAACGCAACATACGGCAGCATGCGAGAAAAATTTCGCAATATTTTTTTTTATTTTTATTTGTAAGAAAGGTCAGATCTCACCATAGGTGGATAAATACAGGTTTTTATTATTATTTTACCGGGAAGCATTTTTTAAAATGTCGAGCTGTTGAAGGCTTTTTGTTAAAGCTACATATCTTACCCGCAAACGGCCATCAGAGGTTAATTTCGCGGTAAAAATGGTTGATTACGAAATCAGGGAGTGAGTTAGTTTTTACTCGGGTTTTGACGTTTGAAATCGAACGGCCAAAACTAGACCAACCGGTGCGTACGCACGCAGTTTGATCTATTTTAGCTTGATCTATTTCATTTTAGGTGTTTCAAATGTGACATAAATTTGGGTCTAGATCAGACCACCGCTAAAGATGCCCTTATGCACTGGAACTATTTTAAATAAGTGAGGATCGAGGTAGGCCGCGCTAAGAAAATGACGCATTTCTGTTTTGCTGCGTCATTTCCACTCTTGCAAAAATTAAAATAATTACAATTTTGATCTTGAAAAATTTTAATTGACAGCACAGAAAGTGGTATTAAAAAGAATTTCAAGTGACAATTATCAATGTTTGTCACAGTGATCAGTGATATGAATTGAATGTAGAATCAAATCCTTCTCCTCCGTGGTATGAGGTGCCGTTTGTTCTTACTAACGCTTTGGAACGCTCAACTTATGTCGTTTTCGTTTTTACTACACTACACCGGTGTAGTGTAAGCAGCAATAAGCGCGAGTCATTGACAGTTTATCATCATTTGTTTGTAAACAAAGGTGCAGCCGATAGCTACACCCTAAAAATTTTCGGTGTTCGGCGGTGTAGCACCGGTGTAGCTACACCGCAAAAACGAAAACGACATTAGTTTATTTACCAGCCATATAAATATTTCTGTTTATCCACACACTACCAAAACGTCATGTAAAGGTTCCCTGAGACCGACACATGTAAGCGGCCCTTTTGACGTAAGAATCAGTTGAAAGAAACGAGAAAATCAATTCAATCAAACGTTCTCTTCTTTGACTTGCTTATAATTCGGTTTGAGAACACTTAATTTTACATGAAATGTTTGTTTACGTTCCATGATTTACGTCCAATATAGATTACGTCTCGTGTAAAAGTAGTTATTTTTAAGTGTGCATGTAAATTGCAACACTAACTTTATTGCTAAATAAGTGCCAATATCCTAGAAGTTTTTTTTTTAATTCTAGAATGGTAAATAAATACACTGCAGATATCCAATTTATAGGTGAATATGTTAATGCGGAGCTACCAACTTTC